GAGGATCTGCTGAAGCACTTCGGGGCGGTGGCCGTGCGAGTCCTGTCAGACCACGGGCGGCTGGTGAGGGGACCCCTGCCCCGTCCGCGCCGCTGGCTGCGGGCTCTCGTCCGTCAGGATTTAGGAGAAGAGCCTTTACAAAAGGGTGTGGGGGAGGGTTTAAGAGGGTTAATCCTCTTTGTCGATATCTGCTTGCTTTCGGTTTAAGATGGCTTTAGCTCACGAGGGAAAAAAAAAAAAAAACTAAGCTCTTTTTCCGTATTCCTGAAACTACTGGCTTCCTGTGTTGATTTTTTTGATTGCGGATGGTTCTCCTAAACTCTTAGGAGAAACACTCCCTAGTCCCACATATGAATTTAGATAACTAGTATCTGGAAGCTTTCAAATGTCTAAATTTAAATTTGCAAATTACTCTCTGAATATAATTTGTATGTAATTTTTTTGATATCTCTATATATAGAGTTCAAACAGAAAGAGTTTTATGTATGAGTTCATGACAAAAAGATTTTTTTTGTTTGTTTTCTAGAAACATACTGCTTTTGCTACGTTCCCCAGTGAAAATGCAGCTGCAAAGGTTTGTATCAAGTTTGTTATAAAGTGTTCTAGCAAAGCAATTTCTTGAATTGCCAGTTCTGTTCTAAAATGTTTTCCACTTCATCTAATATTGAGTGTTGGGGGGGAAAAAAGATGCCTAAAAGTATTATGGTTTTATCTTAGTAGGTGCATGATAGCTTTATTGAAACAAACGCTATTATAGCATCATAAAAAATATAAGTTGGATGGCACTTCTGGAAGTTATCTGATCTAACCTCTTAAAGCATGGCCAACTTGGATGAGGTTGCTCAGGGTCTTGTCTAAGAGTGTGTGTGCTTATTCGTATACAAACTGGTTTGATGTTTCTCCCACATAATCATATATATGCTATAAAATCGAGATGTAGTGATGTACACAGTTCAAGGCTGCCTTGCATGCCAGAGGTTAATAACAAGAAAAGTGTCATGCTAATGGGACACACACACGTGCAAAGAAGGTAATGTTAATACCTATTTTCAAAATATCATTGTGGTAAAAAGCCTGTGTCCTGAATTCCGCTCTTATGCTCTGTTTTTTTCTTAAGGCCATGCTATAGAATAGCGTTCAAAGAAATTACAAAGAGCGTATGAGGTGAACAGTGGTGAATTTAGGTTGCTTTGTGTCATTCGGCAGCAGCTTGTCCTGATTTCCGGGGAAAAAAGCTTGAGCTTCCTAGTGCTACGTTTTAGGAATTTTGATTTTAAGGTTCCCAGATATTATTGTTAGACTTCAGCATGTTGTAGTTCCTGAGAAGGGGGTTTGTTATGTGAAATCATAGGGATTTACTAGACTATTAAAACCGTAGTTAAGGCTGGGGTCTCGTAACTATTTTCAGGTGATACAATTCTTTGCAACTGTTCTAGCTACGCAAAATCATCTTTTTCCTTCTTGCTGGCAGGAAGGAGGCTGCCAAAAGCAGGGCCATGAAGGTGGGGACTGTGCAGCTCCACCTCTGTAATGGCACAGGCTTCACTTAAAGCAGTTGAGACTGCAGCCTATTTGAAGCAAAGAAGAAACAGTTGCTCTCTGAAATATATTCTGATGTTTTCCCTCTTCCTTTTCTTTCCTTTTTCTGTTACGATTCTTTGAAGGCCTTGTCAAGACTGCATCAGCTGAAACTTTTAGGTCACACTTTAGTTGTTGAATTTGCGAAGGAGCAAGATAGCATACACGTACTTAGCCAGCCTTCACTTTCAGAGAAGAGTAAAAGGTATGTGGATAGTAATTTAGTTTCTGTGTTTGTAGTCAAGGAAAGGAAATTGTTCATAATGCTTACAATTTAAGTCAAAGGATAAGGCAGACAACTGTTTAAAAGCATTAACAGGCGGGTTCAGATCTATAGATAAGTGATATATATGTCTATGTATAGCTACATTTCTCCCATTAGTGTTGTTTCATTCAATATCATCATAAAATAATTTCCATCCTTATTCCAATAGATTTACACCTTTAATCAGCAGATTGTCCTGTTTGTTTTCGTTTACAGAGCAAGACTCCAGCCTGTGTAGGCTGACCTCTGTTATGCAAGTTCCCTATGTCAAAAGGGCCTCTTTGACTTTTCTGTGTCAGGGTTATGATTTCCTTTTGCTATTAAACAATGCATGCAGTGCTTTCCTGATGTCTTTTGCATATCTCGTCAAGAGCTAGACAGAACTGGCACGCTATTGCAGCCGCTGGCTTCTATGCTGGAGCTGGTTTGTGTGCCTCTATCTTGAGGCACGAACAGAACAAACATAAAACTGTCTGGATCTCTCTTAAAATATTAAAAACATATATAATATTTAAAAATATGTAACAATGAATCCTCTTTTCAGGATGTAAGTTTTCCTAATATTATTTCTTTCAAATGCTAGTATTTGACCAAGAACTGTGACAGTTTGAATTTCAGATTACTGTCAAGTACTTCATTAAAAGAATAAATTGTATAGTTATTCTTTCAGGGTTAGCTATGTAATATAAGCTATGCAGTTGTGCTTAAATGAAACACAGAGATTTTTAAAAATTGATTTTTACCTATTCAGAGAGAGTGGAATAAATCATAATTTAGTACCTTTGATCTCCTACAGTCTCTGAACAGTGAGTAACATGCAATAATGTTGCTTCTTCTCCTGTGAGTACATTTATGTGAAAACTGTTTAAGTAAAGGGAGACGCTTAAAGTTGCGTGTTTTATTACGTGGGCCTTAAAAGTCTGACTGCTATAATTTGAGTTGTAGTGTCATTAGCAAAAATTGTCACAATTTGTTTTTCATTTTGAACATATGAAGTGAAATATATTTCATACATTATGTGAGGCATTTAAATTTTGCCGTATTTTAATATTAGATTACCTTTCAGCTCAGAAGAGCCAGTGAAAGAAGAAGAGAAGAAAGAATCAAGTTGTCTTAAAATAGAAAATGGGATTGCTCCCAGCCATGGGTTAGTATTTCTTTTCTTGCATACTGATTTTATTCTGCTAGTTTATTTCAAAACAACTATTTTATACTGTTGAACAGCAGAGTGCAGTAGTTTTGTTCTATAGGATGTTGCTGTTCTTCCTGCATAGGTATAGGAATTGTTGTATTGATGAAATTCGTAGTTCGTCAAGTTTAGAGCCTTACGGTTGAATAGTGACCGGTGTTTTGAGGCATGAAGCTGTGGACTGCATAATAGCCTTCTTGTAGAACTTGTTGCTTTTTCAGGAAGAGTTTGAGGGCTAGGTGGGTTGTCTGAGTGTTAACAGCAGATTACCCTTGACTTCTGTTTTTTCAGAGACTTCTTGTCCCATGTTTCCCTGTTTGCATACGTGAAGAATATGTTTTTTGGGGGGCATATAGACTAAATCCAGCATTTTGTAAGAGTGTTGGACTTGGTTTCTGTGCAATGTGGCTATGCTGTACTTCTGTGACACGTAGATTGTTTCCTGTGTGCTTTAGGCTTTCTGCATGTGTTAGTACTTTCATTTTGCCCAAGCCCAGTAAGTCTGTTATGTTTAAGCAACTGATTGCCGCTGATATAGAAGACACAATATGAGTAGCCCAGTCAGCTAAAACAGTACTCATTACTGTTCTAGAGGAAATGGTGGTATTTCAGTGATATTTCAGATGGAATGAATTGTTAAAGCTCTAATAATAATTGGTAACAGTTAGTTAAAATATGATAGTGGAGCTAAGATTCCTTATCTTTAATCTTTTTCCTCAGCCTCACCTTTCCCATCAACTCTTGCCTCAAATATTTGTATCCACCGCCTTCAAGTACAATTCTAGCAAATATAGCAAATGCCCTGGCAAGCGTTCCCAAATTCTATGTGCAGGTAAGTAGAAGCATCAAAAAAGGGAAGTATAAAAATAAGAATATCCTTTCTTCCCATTTTTTGTATTTACTGCAACATAAATTATTTCTGTGGATAGTTAAGTTAGTTTTCCTATGATAGCGCTAACCAATATTAATTCTTTACTATGTTGAGATAAGACTCCATTGACCAGAAGTAACTGTTACTTCACTGGCGCTGAAGACTTGACTGGATAAGATCTCCATAGTTAGTTTTGACTTGAGTACTTCTGTAATTTAGTTGTGAGAAGACCTTTTATGTACTTTTTGCTTAGCTTTTTTCAGGTGAAGCTTATATTTACTGCTAGCATTGCCTTACAAGTGTAGGCTTTCATGTTGGTTTAAAGCAACATAGTTATGTCCTCTTTAAAAGTATGTTGAGTTATACTTGTCAGAAGTTATCATCTGTGATATCTGGCAAGTAACTTAACCTTGTTTAAAGGAAGTAATACTTAACTTGAATCATTTCAGGTACTTCATCTTATGAATAAAATGAATCTTCCTCCACCTTTTGGACCAATTACTGCTCGCCCTCCCATGGTAACTCTTCAGACTCTTTTTTACAGCAGTTGAAATGCATTTTAAATTGTGAAAACATAAGCAACATGACAGAAGATCTAAGTTCAAAACTTTAAAAGTGGGAGAAATGTAGGAATGCTTAGAAGATAGCAGGTACTGCTAATTTTTCTTGGATAAGATATATACGTTAATCATCTAAAGAAATCTCTTTAGTTGTACTTAAAACAAAGAAATAGCCCTCTCTGGTAGAACCGGATATTTCAAACTGTTGAGTATAAAAAAGGGAGGTTGTAGAAGCATTTATAGCATTGTACTGCAGTTATAGGAAATATAATAGAATACTACTAGTCTGTTGCTTTACAGAGGCCTATCAAGTTATTTGATCTGTATGTTTCTTGGAAGTTCTAATAAGATTCAGACTGTTAATTCTTATTATTCTGTATTATGCAGAGCTTTTGGATTTAATTTGTTCCATCTCCAGGATTTTTTTTGAAGGGAGCAGGTATGAGGGAGAACTGGCAGAGGTTCAGGATGAGCTATTTCTGTAGCAGTCTGAAGGGAACTTGAAGTATCAGCTCCCTGGCCTCAGTTCTCCATTATCCCTGACAGAGTAGTTTAACTGATTACAAAGGGAAAATAGAGCAAGAAAGGACATACTGTAGTTATCACTGTTGCTGGAATTGGATGTAGGAAATGGATGTAGGAAGTCTGTGTTCCGTTACACTTTGTGATTGCCCTAATAAAACACCTGCTTCTCATGAGAAAGCTTTGTGAAGTAGCTGGTAAAGAAAGCTATAAAACAAATTCATCAAATCAATGAATTCACACAAATTTTTCTGAGAATCATTTTGTTCTTTGCCTGTTATTGCAATAGGTTAAATGCTGTGAATGTAATGTTCATACAGAAATGAGTAAAGATGCGAAGCCAGTCCTTAAAAATCCTAGAGCAGTTTTTTACAGGGCAGAGATCATTATCAGTGCCTAAAGACATCAGTGCATTATGGAATTGATGGTACATGCAAGTAGCTATTATGTTTAACTGTAGATTGTTGATAGTGGGGTTGGAGGTTATTTTGTAGACGGGGAATTTCTTTGGTTTCTGTAATCTAAAAGAAAATCCTCACTCCTTTTTTACAGAGATAGTAATGGCATAACTTTGATAGGTGACAGAAGGTTCACTGTAGAAACTGAGATAATTTGGGAGCTTTGGGCTCCTTCCACATATTTTCACCCTGCTTCTCTCAGGAAATGAATGTAAAAATAAAAACCCAAGGACACAATTGCTACTGTTTTTATCTTTAATTCCTTAAATTAAAAGAGTAAAAATATTCACTGTAACACTTCAGAAAGCAGCAAATAATTTTTTTTAAGTGGAAAGTTATTCGCAATGCAATTTATCCACACAGCAGATATGTCTCTATGAACGTATTTAAAAAAGCTGCTGCTTGCTGTCTTCTAACTTGTTACTCTCACTGTTCTTATTATGCACAGGAAAACAAGCTATGTAGTAGTCCTAAAAAGCAAAAAAAAGCAAAAATGACTTTCTTTTTCCTCCTTGAAACTAGTATGAAGAGTACTTACCAGTGCCTGTGCCACCTCCTCCAATCCCACCTCTGCCTCCTGAAGAGCCTCCTCTTCCTGAAGAGGAAGAAGAGCAAGTATCTAGTGGAGAAGAATCAGAATATGAAAGTGATAGTGAGGAAAAAGAGAGGTGTGTATTTTTGTAATTTGCAAGCTGTTGGACTCTTTCAAGGTGGTATTTTCATTCTTATGGCTTCTAGTTTTACCAATGGTGGAATCTGTTGACGTTTCCAATGTATAGATAGTCTTTCCAGACACTTAAAGAAGCGTCAAGGTAACTTAAAAGCATATAAATACAATGCTGTTTTGGACCTCTGTAAAAGGGGGAAAATGGCCACCTGGCACCAAAATTACTGTTTGTTTCTTTGCAAAAAGAACAGAAATTCAGAATGAAGCCTGAAAAATGGAAGTAATAATTAGCTTGTTTTCTAGATTGAATTTGGCTTTGCACATCTTTACTTGTGTAGTTAGCCTGTGACTTTCAAGCTGAATGGTGGGTGCATGTTGATACCTAAAATGTTCTTCCTACGTCAGGGTGTAGTGTGAAGTAATAATAATGGGAGGTTGTGTCTGCTGAGGATTTGCCAGCAGTTTTGGGATGCAGTACGTACTGAATTACATCATAGCTGGTTTCTCTGCTTTAATCTGGTGCTAGATAAGGAAATAATTTTCTGTATCCGATATTTAAACTGAAGTGAAAAGTAAATAGGACAATCTCTATGCTATATTCAGAAAAATGTGTGCATTTGAAAAACATGGGAAAAACTGCAGAGTGGAAGTGGTATGAAAACTTGGTTCAGCCTGGGGCTGCTTAGCATTTCTACAACTTCAGTGTCCTGATTAGGCACCTAGTTGGAGAAAGAAAAGACATCACTGAACTCATTACAATTTGGGTCTATTGCTTAAGTGATGCTCCTTTGCTCCATGTGTATGAAATTGATATGTGATGTAATTTCTTAGTGTAGTTTAGATCTTAATGCAGCTTAATATATAATTTATATTCTGAAAAGTTGTATTTCAAAGCTTTTAAGGAAGGGAGAAAGGTTTAATTTACAAGTGAGTAATCTCAAATAAGATGTAAACTCAATTTGGTTCTTTCTTTTAATTGTTGTGTTTAAAATAGAATGACCAAGTTGATGGAATTAGCAACCCTTCAGCCTAAAAGACCAATAAACACAAAGAGGCGTGGCGTTAGAAAAAAACAAAGAATTAAAGACTTACTGAATGCTCCTGTGTGTACTCCCCACAGGTTTGTATTATTTGTATGGTGCTTTCACTTTTTCAGATTATTCCTTTTACTAAATCACTTTCGCTATTTGATACTGGTTTTGGGTGTTACTGTTTTAATACAAAACTCTTCACTGGTAAGTACGTTTGGTAGCAGGATTGATCTTCGTTTAGCCACATGATTGATTTTTTTACCCATTGCTGTGAAGGTCCAAATTTTCAGGTGATTTGGTCTCAGGTTTGCTCAACAGCCTTGATCGGTGGTGTGCGTGGTTCATTCTTTAGCTTTCTCTCCCCCCACCCCCATCAAACTAATAAAAATCCCTTTTTCATTAAAAAAAAAAAAATCACCATGACAAAGCAGGAGTCTGCATTTGCTGCTTGGAGCAATTCTTTTAAAAATATGGAGATAGAGGAAGAATAAAAATAGATTTAATTTAAATCTTTTTAGTTATTGAAATAGCTGTATTGTGGCACAATAGACACAAGTATAATATTTCTGTCTAGTAATGATCTATTGTGAAGGCATTTTTATAAATAGCTTTCCTTTTTCCTCTAAGTGATTTGGTATATTTTTTACAAAAAAAAAAAAAGTATATTTATACTATATGAAGCAGCAAAACCAATTATTTTTGGCTTATTTAATTTACTGATGGAAAGCTTTTCATGAGTGCTTGAGATGTATGGACTTCTTGTTTTTTGCAGCTGCTGCCAGGCAAACTGAATGTATTTACATTGTTTTAAATGTGATCTAATAAAGTTGAAATTGATTATGAAATAGAAAACTCATGTTTGATAAATAACAGTATAAAATCTAATTGGAAGAAATGCTTATCTTTTATTTGACTATATGTTTGTCAGTGACTGAATCTGTTTAAGTTGGATTAACGTGTTATTGTTTTAAACAGTAGTTTGCACCCTACACTGTCACCTTCAGATGTTTTTGAACAGCCTCAACATGTAGGTCATAAAAAAATTGAGTTCCATATTACTACTGACATCCCAGCTGTTCTTCAGATAAACTCGGAAAGAGAAGAAAAAAATGGTGAGGAGTTTGTATTTCAAATGTAATTAATGTTAATGTCATGTGATTTCAGTGTGCAAAGTCTGCTAAAATTTAAGTCAGGGATTTTTTAAAAATTCTTTTGTACTGGAGATTTCATAAATAATGCAAGTCAGAGTCCTTTTTTAAGGATACTGACTCGTATCTTGTCTTTTGTTGCTTTTCCTATGTTAAAGCACAGAACTCTGGGCTTTGGTACAATAAGGGGATATAGAGGATTTTTAGAGGTCTCTTTCTTTCCTATGAGCTCTCTGCATTTACAGTGAATTGCACTGTCTTTTTTAACTTTAGATTGTTTTTAGGAAATGTTGCAAGTTCATTCTTAGTGTTGCATAGTGTAATTGCATTTAGATTTTCCTTTTCCAGTTTCTAGAAGGCAACCTTCAAGTGGTTGCTAGCTCCTTTTCTGTAGTGCACTGATAATCACTTTGCTGTATAAATACTGGGCGATAGTAGCAGTGTGGTATGGTGGTTTCTTATAGCGTTACGGTTAGTCTTGAGTTTCTTCTTATTTTACAGTAATGTACAATTTCTTTCAATGAAAATATTAAAAAATAAATACGTCAGTGAAATGTATACAGCCTTGAACAATAAGACTAGTTTTATTTTGGCTGGCATGTGCCATGTTTTTTTCCAGTAGTAAAGTTGATTTTGTAGAACCATATAGAGCAGATGTGTTTATAAAGCCAGGAATGAAGACAGATTTTTCTTAAGAGTGTATTCAGACTCCTTTACAATGCCTGCTATATTCAGATGCTTCTTCTAATTTTGAAAGGTTTATATTTTTTTGCTTGCAGTTGATCCTCTTGTGAATAAATATACAAACCACTTTATATACTGTATTCAAATTTTAGATCTTTATGCAACCACAGAAGAAATCAATAATGCAGGATTTGGAAAGATTTTCCCAGCTCCTACCTCAAATGATAAAATGGAAATGGAAGAAGAGCATGATGAAATACCGTCGGAATTTATTTCTAGACGGGAACTAGAAAAAAACAGACTTTCTAGAGAAGGTATAACCTTGAGAATAAATCATTATTAATAGATCTTTACTTTTTGTAAAAAAACTTAAATTAAAAAAGAAGTATTCTTTATCAGATATATAAAATTACTTGTGTTGTAATGATTAAAAAAATCATTCAATGAGTTGAAACATTTAGATTGTCTATTTTTCTGTCTTTGTCTTGTCCAAGAAATGGAAAAATTTTCTGTTTTCAAAAACTATGAGCCAGGTGAACCAAATTGCAGGATATATGTGAAGAATTTAGCTAAACAAGTTCAAGAAAAGGTAGGTAAACAAGCAAATTAAGTATTTATCCAAGAAGCTTTTTTTTTAATCAGCTTTCCTCTTAAACCTTCCCTTTAATTCCAGGATCTCAAGTTCATATTTGGAAGATATGTTGACTTTCAGTCAGAAACGGAACGAAATATGTAAGTTACTTTGATGCTTAGTAAAATTAAAGCTTTATGTTAATTTCTGCAGCTGTGGTGAAAACTTTGATTAAAGATTAATCATCTTTTCTTTTTTTCTCTCTGCTTCAGCCCTTTTAAGGGGGGAAATGCTTCTCATCTGCAAATCTTTCTTTATCAGAAGTACAAAAGTAGAATTATTTTTTTGAACAGAGTTCAAAGTAGCCAAAATAGGCATAAAATTTAGGTCTGAATTAACTGTTTATTGGTGAGCGATGCAGAATGTACACAGTGGAGATCATTGCGTGTATGTGATCATTTTGCATGCGTTGTATTGTAGTTGTACATCAGCTTGTCATCCTGCCGTCTAGTGTCAGTTTTGACTAAATAGCTTACACATTTTTTTTCCTGCAAATATTAATGGTCTCCAATGACATAATTCCTGAATGTAGGCACTCCTCCTATTTCTACTATTTCCCCGACTTGTCTCATGAGAATTATTTATAGTGTGAAATATGAAAGTGTGCTTAAAAACACGAATAATTCCTTATTCTCAATTTTGCTTCTAGGTTTGATATACGTTTGATGAAAGAAGGCCGTATGAAGGGACAGGCTTTTATTGGACTACCTAACGAAAAAGCAGCTGCTAAAGCTTTAAAAGAAGCAAATGGATATGTCTTATTTGAAAAACCCATGGTGGTTGTATCTTTTATTGAAATATTTGTATTATATTCTCTTTCTAATTTATTCATGAGTCTCTAGCCTGTCATGTAGGGTTCTACTTTATTAGAAATCTATAGGAGGAGATGATATATTTTTAAGAAAACCAGGCAGTATAGCACAGTGTACTATTGTTAATTTTATGATAACTGGAGGCACTTCCCCTTCTGAAAAAGAAAAATTAATGTGTTTTATTTAAGACTTAATAAAATTGACACTTCTGTTGTTAGCTCTTTGATCTTGCAGACATTCTAAACATAATTTAGCTTGTATAACTACTCTCCAAATTGAGTAGGCTCTCCAACTTGGTTAAGCCTGCATTTGCAGAATTAGGAGCTCAGGTATATTTTTGACACAAAACTCCTTTTGACAAGGATTTACATTCAGAAAATGTATACTTTACATCCATATTAATGTAAAATCAGAAATACTTGTAAAAAAATATTCCTGTCAGCAGTCCATGCTTAGACTGCCTCTCTGGCTAGAACTGTCAGTCTGTTTCTGGGCCTGTGTAACATATTGTGATTCCTATACTTTTTGTTTGGATTTCCTTTGTCGTGTTGTTTGTGTGCTTTAAATCTTTGCTTGTCCTCTTTATTGTTAGTTGTCATTTAACTGTTTCCTAGTTTTTTAACTTTTCTTTGTACTGTTGTTCCCATGACCTCTGTTTCCTTTAAATCTTTTCTTCCTGAATACTTTCCGAGATATCAGAAGTTGTGGAATTAGCATACAGGGATGGACATCTGTAAATACCAAACATTTATCCTGCTGCAGTTACTCTGTTTGCATCTCCCCTTCCCGGTTTATCTACCTTATTTGCTTAGTAATCTATACTCTTGGACAGGCTCTCTTAAACATTTTTAAATTGCCCATCAGTGAGGTCTTAATCTTTGACTGATAGGCATAACTGTAACCACGTTTAATACTGTAGCAGAATTGACTCTCAGAAAAATGAAGGACACATTTTAAACCATCTCTTTTACTGGACTAATACTACTTTTCTGCTTCTGAATTGATGACTTTGTTCCACTTGGCACTTATAGTCCTTAACAGAATCTCAGCAATTTGCTCGTTCAGCTAGACCAAAACAGGATTCCAATGAAGGGAAAAGAAAAAAATAGAACACTGGAAAAGGTAAGGATGTCCTGCCTGAAAATAAAAAGAGAGAGAAAGATACAAGCTGTTTTTTTATTACTGTTTTTTAAATAGCTGCCTAAATGTGTATGTCTTCTATCAGAAAACCAGGCTGCAAGTTACATAGATAGTAGAAGTTTAATGTGTTACTACTTTCTTTCTCTAGAAACCTGGTGACTGCCATTTCCCCAGTCCTCGGGTCATAGGGTCCTTTGTCAGTTTTTCTGATCTTTAAACTAGGGAGTGGGGAGTTGGGAAGAATAACTTTGTAGAATCTGACCACTTAGCTTTTAGTAACCTTCAGGAGTTTTGGCTTTGAAAAGAGTTATTTTCAACACCCTCTTCCCCCTACATTTTAATGTGACCCTGAAGAACTGCTTCCAGTAAAAAGCCTGCTCCCGCTAGCTATTTAAAGGACCTTTGACTTGGTAACTTTGAATCAGGTCTTTGTGCTATTGCAGCATCCTTTAAGCTTGTCTGATTTAGGAAAGGGTATTGTGTCAGCAATTTTTACTTAAAGTTATGTTAATCAAGACTTCTTTTGTGATGCAGTGCACAGATGCTGATTTCTGGTGTTTCTGTCAACAAAGCTGGCAAAGTAGCTTTTAGCAGAAAGCGTTCATGGTTTGACTTCGTTTCCCATCATATATATGGCTTTACTTCACTGCTGCTTTACTTCAAGTATTTGAGTTACACTAGAGTAACTTGAGCAAAAACAGCTCTAATTAAATTGTGAGGAGTTTCGTGACCCAAAAACATTTGCGTAGTGAATTGTCTTGAACTAGCACATAAAATAACTGGTATGAGACTTAGAATTCCTTAGTTCTCAACCTCCACCCATTGATAGATCAGGTAGACCAAATTTAAAATGCCATTTAACTAATTACAGATGTCAGTTGGGCATCACTGTGCTTATTCCTCCACCGAAGACTGAATGAACTCAAACCTTAGGCTGAAAGCTTTTGAAACATTCTACTTATTCCATCATATTTTTAAATCTGGATATTTTGATCATTTATTTTGGGAAAAACCCCTAAAGCTTGGAATTAAGGGTATAAGTGACTGTTTCTGACTTATAAAACTGTTTTATGACTCCCAGTACTGTTATTGCCAGGGTAATACTTCTATTAATAACAAAGTTACTGTAATTGTAGATTTCTCGTTCTGTCAGTTGTCTGTGAATTTTTGGTCAGATTCCATGTGAGCCTATTATTTCAGTCATTTCTGAAATGCTGTGTAATCTTACCAGTTCATATTTTGAATTATTGATTTCTACTCTGCAAAATCAGTATTCAAATTGAAGACAGTTTTTTGGCAGGTATTCTTGTGTGGTGGTTGTTGAAAAAGAAACAAACCTTGGCTAAAGTATTATAATAAGATCAGGGGCTTAAATAAATGATTTGGTCTTGTTTCTAACTTACTCCTTGATAGGGAAAAACCTTAAGACAATTTATTGAGATTTATTTAAATAGCAAAAGAAAACTTGCAGAAGTGTTTGAGCTATTGGAAATCTTCACTAGTATCCACACATCTTTCCAGCTAACTTTATATATTTTCTGAAGTCAAAATCAGATTTTATATGTTTTAAATAGTATTCAAATTACATAAACAGGAGCAACTGGATGATGATTTGGTTAAGCATATTGATGGGCAAATCAGAAGTATATTTTTAGAATGAGCAGGCATATTTATGCAAAACTTATTTATGCCTCTAAAAGGTTACATGAGGTAGCTCGCTGTCACTGGTTTAATATAGTGAGGGCAAAACTTCTTACTTTGACCATTTGTATGTTAAGATTACAGAATGCACCTGAGATTAATACACAATTGTGGGAATCCAAGAGTTTTAATTAAAAATGCTTTCACTTGCCAACTAATGATGAAGCTGAACCATATTTCTACCTGAATGTCTTTCCTGTTCCTGCTCAAATATCCTGGTAGATGTTAATTTGTGATGCAAAATTCTGTGATAGAAATCTGAGTCTGTAAGGAAGAAGGGTGTTGGAGTCTCAAATTTGAAAGACAAATAAAAATTAATTTATGCAGGTATTTGGGAGGCTTTAAAATTGATCTGTGTTGTACATCTCACAGTATTTTTAAAAAAAGACTAAATTGACATAAGTTAAATTTTGATTATTTTTAAACAGGAAGAAGCTGTATTTAATTCATGAACACTGTTCCAAACATTATGTTCTCCTTTGTAGAGAAAATAATATAAAAAAAGCTGTATTACTCCTTTATGACTGAAATATCTTTCTCTTGATGGACCGACAAACATTTAAGGTGGTATTTGGGATGATTATTTTTTCTGTAGCTAAAATACTAGCTTTTGGGGAGCAGGGTTATGTAGAAGAAGCTGATGCTGAGAAGTCACCAGCTTCTTTTTAGGGAAGAGGTGACCTGACAGAGTACATTGAATGGAAACATAATTGGGTTTTGGACCTGATGGAAAAAGTGAGTGTGTAAAATATGGAAGACTGAAGGAGAATCAATGAGACAGAAAATTCTGGTATTATCTTAAGAGTTCAAGTTATCAAAAGATGTATTTACTTTTGAATATGGAGTTAGTTTTGGTGGACTCAGCCCTCCTTAAATGTGATAAGGGGTCAAAACTGTATTTTATTAAATGAGGCATTTTTGCTTACGGTAGGTAGTATAAAGTTATGTGAATGCAATACTGAGAATAAAGTAAATTTAAACCACATTCTGCTGTTCTTCTTTAGAAACATTCCTGCGTAAATACTGCAGTAATACTGTCATGCAGAGTGTATCCTTTCTTGTTGTATCCTTTTTTGTGCAATGTTTCCCGTAGCACTCTACCTCTTCAGTTTTCTCTAAAGTAGGTGTGGGGAGGAGTTTACACATTTTAGAGCTTGAACTAATCTGGTAATTTTGAAAACGAAGGACACTTATTCAGAATTAATGAGTTGTCTCTGTTGCTTAAATAGACACAGTGAAATTTCCTGGTCTCAACACATGGCCTCCACATTCTTCCTCAAAGGCCATAAACTTCTTTAATTTGCAGTCTAACTTCTTAGCTTGTATGAGCTAGATGTTTGTGGAGCTGTGCTGAGCTCACACTGAGAATTACTTCTTGTTTTCTTTAATAAAATATATGTTGGTTAAAAACATTGCAAAGCAGTCCATTAAATTATTGCAGTGTTGAGCTGTATTTTAGAACATTTAATGATTACTATTGTCCTAGTTTATGAGAAACAATTTATAGTGGATTTACTTTTGAACATTATTTTTTAGAGTAGAGAACAGTAAATCTAAGTGTCTCCCAATGAAGTAATAGAGCTTGGAATGGGACTATTAATTGTTGCTTTTTTGTTGTTGTTTTTTTAGATTGCTTTCTGCATTGTGATAGTGTTGTTTCCAGTGATTTATATATTTTTTTTGTGGATTACATATTACATTGTTCTGTTAAATTCATTTTAGCATAAATCTGATACAGCCTGTTTATTTTTATATATATATATATACACAAAAAAAACTTTAAAGTTTTTCAGGCATTCTATGCTTTTCTAAATATTAAGCATCTTACCATTAAGCTATCAAAAGAAAGCACATGCCCTTATTTTCTAGTCGTTCATACTTTTAACATGCCTTTATGATGTTCCAGGTCCCTTTTGTGTTCCATCTCTTTCAAGTGTTATCAAGCTGAGAGAGAAGAAGCAGTGATCATCAGGACTCTTGAACTGTGCGTAGTAGCATTTCTAAACTATTTAAGGCAGAGTATAAATTTGCTCCTCTAAAAGATTCCAGATGTCTTTAAACAGTCACAGGACTTATGACAAATGTATGCTAATTTGCTTGTAAAATCTCTAATAAATTATTCCTTTTTCTTCATTTTGCCTTTTTTTTGTTGTTGTTGTGGGGTTTGGGAGGGGCAAGAGGAAGGAGGAATGCACCTTTATTTTTTGAAAAGTTAAATAATATAATCGTAATTAATTCAACAACATGTTCAAGATGATGCGCAGTATGTATTTTTAGGTATCAGAGTGAATTCTTTCTTTCTGCCTTGAGTATAATGTTCAGCTGTTAGTTTCAGGGTAAAAGTGAGAAAATATGAGGATAATCTTATTTTACTATGAATCTCTTTTCTTGCCTTAGAAACCAAACAGAACTAGTGCAGTGGAATGAGGTTGAGGGAACTGTACTGCATAATTAGCCGCTCTGTTTTTTCCTGAGTAGGCCAGGAAAACTTTCTCTGACAATATGTGAGAACTTCTGAAGAGTGTGATGCCCAAAAGAGAGAAAGGAAGAAGTTAAGGGGAAAAAAAAGCCCTAACAAATCTGAGAGTTCTTTGGCCGTTTTACTATAAGTAATGTAAGGTGTTAAATAAAGCTAAGCTATGTGTTTGGCAGGGTTGTTGTTAGAGAACAAGTAGAATATTCCCCCTACCCTCCATTAATCTATCAAACAAATGTCCTCAATTCAATTGAGAGAACCCTCTTTTTTAAAAGGCATGTGCAAGCTTCCACTCCCTTAAGCTATCTTCTTTTTTTTTATGTACTTGTTTATGCTGTTTTTTCCTTTTTCTTCAGAACATGTTTCAGTTTTCTCCCTGTTATTTCAGGTAAAGTTACCACTCTTTTAACAAGTCATATGGGGCTGCTTTCTAGATCACACACAAGGAGCAAACGCAGGCTTATTTCACAATCTGCTTCAAAAACTACTGGCATGTAGACACACGAACTTTAATTAAACAAGAAATGTTCATATTTAAAATTTTTGAATATCCTCATAACATATTTTTCCAGGTAGGACTAGCTCATGTAGGTAATGTAAGAATCAAAAATCTTACTGCAGTTTGGTAGTATGAATTGATTCTTTGATATAGCAAAGATCTTGTGACATCAGAAACTAGAATAGATTTTCTGTATATGAACCTGTGCATCTTATCAGAATTTTCTTTGAAAGCCAGAGTCAGAAGGTTGTTCTAATACACTTTTGTCACAGGTCTGTTTGGAATTAAGTTTAAAATGATGCAAAGTGGATTGTGTGATTTGAAGAGGGGGGGAAAAAAAAAAAAGTAGTGTGCACATTGCTTCAGTGTCTTCCGCAGGAGCCTGATTTATAAGGTCTCCTCTCCAGTTCCATTGTTATGGGTGTTTTTAACTCAGACCTTTCTCTTTGAATTTTAGGGACTTCACCTGATTACAGTGAAAAGAAATTTTGGTTTTGAGAAGATACAAATAAAGTTATTTGCAAAGTGGAGGTGGCATCTATTCAGAAACTAGTTAAATTATCCTTATGAGACTAGTAACTTGGAAAACTCACTAACATATTTAACAAGTATTACACAGTTTGCAGGTGTCATACCCTTCACATCTTTGAAGGTTAACAGCTAAGACAAGGCCTAATGTCAAACTGAGAATCACTTTTCTTTAATGTTTTCTAGCAAATTTTAAACTGTCTTGGTTTATTTCTTAAATGTATCTTCCTAGCTGATGCAAGACTGAAAAGAAAACACTTGCGATTGCAAATACTTGTGTTTACTGAAGTAGTTTGCTGCTCCTGTGCTTGCTACAGAACAGCAAATGGGTAGCTCAAATCCTGTGACTGCTGCCTGAGTCTTCTCCAGGCTAGGAAAACCGCTTCTTGAATGAAATGTTATGTACAGGCAAATATTTGTTGTAGCTGCAGTGCTGATTATTTCCAGAGAAGAGAAACCTTATTCCAGTGACATGACAGACTCCATTTGTTACTGTGTGTAGCACAGACACTGTGGCAACAGTAAGGTAGAAAATGTTAGTTAATCCTGCATTGCTTTTGAAGAGGTGGAACCCTTCCTTGTGCTACCACGTTTTTGGTCTGTATCTTGGTGGAGCCACTGCACAAAGCATTGTGACTCAGGTAGGTTATTGCACATAAAAAGTTATATAATACACAAAGCACGCAGTATTTGTTAATATCCGCATTGGATGATGTGCATAGAGCCTAGCTATTAAAATACTATGTAAGACTGGAATAGGATGGCAGCAGATGGTGCTATAATCAAAGACAAAAATACTTTAAAAAAAAAAAAAAACCTTTCTCAAATACTAAGACTAAAGATATTCCAGAAAGAAATTTTCTCTTGTATTAACATAATAATGTGTAAATTTTTTTAAAGTTTTTATTTAGGCATATAACAATTTCTCTTAAAGTAGCATAGCTGAATAGCAAACCTGGCATGGGGCTGAGGGGATGGGCCTTGCTTTTTCGGGTTTTCTGTCAGCTGTGGTGCAAGCTCGAGCACTGGAGGGCAGCAGGGAGAAGGCAGGCGGCGGCACTGCCGGCGCCCTGGCAAGGCTGTCGCGGTGGCTGCCCCCAGGGGCTCGCCGGCCCTGCCTGCCGTCTGGCCCCCCCTAGCTGGAAGCTGCCGAAAAGATGCTGCTGGAATCTATGGAGAATGATGCAAATTAGCCCCAAAACGTATGTATGAAGATATGCTACATGCTTTATGTCTTTTTAATTCCTGTATGTGCTGAAAAGGCCCTGGAGGAAGTCAGTAAGGGACAGTGCAGTGTTTCCAAAGAGGGTGTCAAAAAGGAAGCAGAATTGCTATGTCTGTACAAAACATGCAGCTGCTGAGAGACGTTCTGTGGGGAAAGACTGGAAGTTCCCATGGAAGCTAAACTACTTTCTTTTTACAGCCTTTTTAACATCTGAAGCTTCAGTAGGCCTGCATGAGACCTCTCAGGTGTTGCCGTTCAGCTCATTTAGGCATTCCTTGTGTAGTTTGTGTGCTGAAGTAAAACTAGGATAGCAGTCTGACTTTGGTCAAATGAACGGATGCTGGCCAGGTCTTGGCAATTACTATGCCTTTCTGTCTGACCTTGGGACCAGGGTTTAGTTGTTTATCTGCTTACTCCTTAATTTGGCTCACAGACTGTAATAAATCTGAAAGTGATCTGGGCTTTGAATCCTTGTTTACCCCCTCCCTTCCCCAAACCAAAACAGCACCATGCAACCCAAGCATAAATAAACCTTTATAATGGCATATTTTATGAAAGGTGAAATCTGTAATTTGTATCTGATGAAGTCTCTAAATCTCTTAAGTTATTGGTAAAGATACCAAAAAATACTCTGATAGCTTGTAATCTAAACAAAATAATAAAGTTAGTTCTCCCTGCCTTGTAGTTTTTACAAGACTTATTTGAATTCATAATGAGTTTTCATCCAATTGAAATACAGTATTATATTGAATACCTAGAATGACTGAACTTCATGCAAAACAGAAGCTTATTCTGACTTAAGGCAAGAGAAAGACAACTTGGAAGTCCATACTCACCATCAACAGGGTATTCTGTAAACACTGAAGAGATGATGTTCAGACTTTGAACATTATTTTTCCTAGAAATGTGTAATTCTTTTAAAATAAAATGTTGTAATTTTTGTGATGTTTTTGTACACTTGTTTTAAGGTGCATAAGAGTTACTGCTGCTGTTGGATAGTAATTCTATATTAAATATAAGATCCTGTAGAGAGAGGTTTATTATTTTGAATGATGTCATGTGATTTTATTTTACTAAATAGGTATCACTTCAAGTATGCATGAGAGACAATGACTAAATAGGTAATACGCAGTGTCTTCCTTCTTCTTTTTCTTCTTTTAAGAGCAAATTTAAATACTGTTGCTAGGATCCTTGGTATTTTGGGGATAGCAGCTGAGTTTGATATCCCAGACTTTCAACCCAGCAGAAAATGAGCTGACTGCCTCCTGAGTTCTCAGGTTCTTCAAGACAGCAGTGGAGTTTTTCAGAAATAACGATTCTCTCCCATGTTCTTTGAATTGCAATCAGCTGAACTCTCTCTGCTTTCCTATGGCCATACGATATTTTTTTTCCCCTCCAGTTTTAAAGCATTCTGAAGCTGGAGTCTTCAGGTTATATTGGGGATTTGAGCATATCCATCTTATCATTACTTGTACTGAAGCCAGAACAGCCATAAACCTTATTTCAAAGAAAGCAAAAAAACTACATTGAGCCTTCTCTTCAAACACTAGGCCTTGGAGGCAGTCTGGTCAAAATATATTATTCCTAGTGCTTTGTATAGCTTAGTTGTCATCTCATCTCATTTATTATTCACTTTGAGAAAGCAAAAAGACAAACAAAAAAAAAAGGTGTGCTTCCTTACAGGTAAAATTCTTCAGCTATTGTGGATCAGATATTTACCCAAGCAACAGGCAAAAGTGAAGGTCTCAGCTGACCCTCAATGACCAGAGCTGTAACACCAGTCACTTTTGTATTATGTGTAAAAAGTAATGACAATGCTTTGATTATCTGGCACCCTGACTTAAAAAAAGTTGTGTGGGGAATTTTGACTCAAAATCTCAGAAAGTTTGAACAGGACTTAGCGCTACCAAGCTGATAAATGCCTTCTCTTGTCAGAGAAGATCAAACTCTCTTGGCTCATTCTCTGTTAATATACGTTCTTCCAATCAGGATAAGGAAACAAATCTAACACCAAAATGAAAGCACACAGATGACAACTGCTTATGTTTGAATACTTATCTGTATACACTACAAAACCCAAGATGTATACTTATATGCATTACCAAAAAATTGCAAGTTACCAATTTCACTAAAATTGCTTTGTTCACTAGTAGCAAAACAAGCTAAATTAGTCAGATGATTCGTTCTAAATAACTCTGATTGCCCTGAGAAATACACTGACAGCTGATAGCAACAGAATCTGGAAGCGGGAACTACACTATATAAACTGGCATAGTTTGCACTTGAATTCACTCCAAAGAGTATAGCTTTACAGATTGAGAGATGCACTTTCTTTACTGGAAATAAAAATAGAGAGGGTTGTTTTGTAGAATTCACTTAACATATTATATAAACTTGTGTTTGGATATCTGTGTCATAACAGATCAGAGTTTTCAGCAGTACGTTCTCAAATATGTTTGTATATTAAATTGGGAGAGGATGCATTTTTTTTTCCACACAGAAAACCTGAGGGCCCCTATGTTTGCCTTTAGCCCTTCACTACAGTGTTTGGTGTCTCCCATGATACCACACTCAAAATCTCTTTATTCCTTCATTGTCCTTTTTTGTTTCTGTGTGCTTTAATAGCTTCTAACAAAGAGTACATACTTCGGAGAAAGTCACAAGATTTTGTGCTGTGTTATTTAAGGAAAGTAGTTCAACTTCTTGTTTGTGCCATGTCTCTTATCTTGTAGGAGTTTTATCTTAGACCCTCTAAATCAACTTCTAAACATCAAGACTGCAAAATGAGATTCTAAATGTCTATTGTAAACTTTGACAATCACTAACTTCCAGTGTGTTCCGAGCAGTATCTCTCTAGATGAGAGAAAAGAGAGATTTTAATAGGCCTGTTGTCTGTGTTAGTATATACATAGGGCAATGCGCTATGACTTGGTAGTAGAGTGGTGCTAACCTAGCCCATCGGAAGCTAATGTAGCTTGTTTTGCTCTTCTGGAGAGTTTCTTTGGTACGTTTGCAGAGCTCTGCACACCTGGGCATTGAGAAGGAGACTTGGTTATGGAGCTTCACAGCACTTGCAGTGTCCTGCATTCCACTGTGTTATGTTCTCTGGGAGAAGAACGTCTCCTCACAAGTTGCAGTAGGGGCAGAGATTAAACATTTACTGCTTTTGGTTTTGAGTCAGCATAGTAACTCTACTGTAGTTGAAGGCTCCTCTATAATTAGTGCTTGCGTTTTAATGACAGTTATCGCAAATGACAGATCTGCATACGTTAAACTTCCAAAATATCTGGATTTTGTTGGCAGCTTGCTGTAAGATGCGCACCACTTCTCCAAGGCCTTGTCTCAACATGCACAAGTCTTAGTAACGCAAACTGGAAAAAAGACCTCTCTTGTGGGTAGACAGAGGTATAAAGTATTATGTATAAAAATGGAAAAGGAAATGCCAATATCAGTCTCTGTAACTACTTCTCTGCCATTCAGATATTTTTGGAGGGCATCATAATAGTAAAAATAATATTGTTACACACTTGAGACAACCTGTACTAAACTATGCCTGAACTTTAACTTCAGGAAAGCTAAGTTACTGTTAGCATGGGAAGTCGATACGGTTTAGATAAACCAATTCTCAAACAAAATAACAATCAAATAAAGTTAAATAAATAAGATGCCAGAGATAGGTAGTTGCTTTTAAACGTGTATTTTGTAATGTGTACTTTACCCTCTTGCAGGAACATAAACGGGCAGTGAGAAGGTCACAACTGATCAGAGAAGACACGATGGGTATCTATTTTCTTCTGCTAATTGTAGGGTTTTGCTGGGCCCAGTACAACCCCAATACTCAACCTAGGAGGACGACTATTGTGCATCTCTTTGAATGGCGCTGGGCCGATATCGCTCTTGAGTGCGAACGCTATTTAGCTCCGAATGGATTCGGAGGAGTTCAGGTACGTTGTTTCCCAGCAGTAGGTAGTAAAATTGCTTCAATTTGTTTTTCAGAGCAAAATGTTCAATTTACCAAAGGACGGGTATTGGGAAAGAAAAAATAGAAAAATAGAAATTGGTAATCGGGTAGTAAATACTGACAAATACATTCCTAGGCAATCATTGTGTAAGAGTGAATTTATTTCATCGCTCCAAAGGGCATATGTTTTGCTCTCTGTACTATTTCATTTGGATGAATTAGAATTTCAGATTGCGAACTAAATCTTTATTTACTGTTTTGAAGAGTGAAGGAAGGATCCGTTATCCCCGTCTCACGTATCTATGTTTAGCTGCTTGATATATTTAAATCAAGGGAAGCTTTTAAGAGCTAGACAAACATAAAATGACAGAGAAGGGCTCCCAGAGAGAATACTAGAGTGCTGAAGGTTTAAAAAAAAAAAAGCAATGAAAAAATCAAAACAAAAAACCCCTTAGGCTGCTAATTGTGTGCACCTAGACTGGCAGGTTTCTCTCTAAAGTCTAGTGTCAGAGTAAGCCATTAAAAGGCTCTGCTTTGCAGGAACGTGGGGTGAGTGAGCAGGCAGAAACTAACTGAAAGCAAGTGGTGGAGGTGAGTTGGTGAGAATCTGGGGCAGCTGCAGAGCAAGCATCTGTTCCAGTGGAACTAGTAGTGCCAGGTGGGTGCAGTGTTATGACTGGAGAGTAGTAACCTATTAAAGCATTTCAGTTTGTTGGCTTGCTCTGGAAAACTTGGTGAAAGAGTGCCGCAGCCTGTCTCTTGTAACCTGCGAGTTAAAAAGTTGGCCTGAGAACTTTCCTATGATTTTTTAAAAAATACATCTTTTCTTTGCAACCTTCTTTCCAGAGTCACAGGCGTGATTGATTTTAAACTGATTTTTCAAACTCTGCTATACTCCTGCATTCCTTTTTAATCCATGGCTGTGACAACCATATGAAAATCCATGGCCCTCGGAAAGAAAGTATTTACAGGTGCAAACTGCTGCTCAGCTTGTCACAAAGTTGTTGATGTAAAGTAAGCTGTAACCCAGAGATTTGTGACAGATATGTTAGGATCCAGATGGTTATGCCCAGAGACGTGAAGATGGCAGCAAAAGCTTGTTGCCCAAGAGGCATCCTTGGAAAGAGCCCATGAAAGGAAAAAGCTTATCTGGGAACTGTGAGAAGTCTCATTCTGTGTATGCTTCTATCTAGAACATTATAAAAATTACAAAGGAAAGTTGGATCTGTTTTAAATATGTTACTCAGTTTCTTGTTTTACAGTTGATTTCTGATTTTGGAGTATCTCTGTTGACCTAACCATTCAGATTTCAGGCACTTCTTTTGAGATAAGAGGCCTATGTACCCAAAGGGGATTAGGGACCTATGTCCATAAACATCATTTTATGGTATATTTCTACCTGCTGAAGGTCTGAACCCAAGTCTTTTTTTTCCAGTTGACTACAATGGGTGTAGAGGATACGGAGGATCCATGTGGACTAGGTATTGTGAGCTTCTTGGATTAAAGGGATCTGATTTTCTATTTTTAAGTTCTTTCTCTAACAATACTGAGCAAACATTAAGTAAACTATAATCAGTACCCTATTACGAAGAGACACCATTTTATTCATAGATTTCTCCTCCAAATGAAAATATTATCATTACTGATCCCTGGCGACCTTGGTGGGAAAGATACCAGCCAGTCAGCTACAAGCTCTGCACACGATCTGGAAATGAAACTGAATTTAGAGACATGGTGACCAGATGTAACAACGTTGGAGTAAGTGCTTTGCAAATCTTGTGTTAATAGTGCAAGAATATAGATGCCAGGAAATTTAGAAAGGACAACGTGGTAGCTTTGGAGCACGGCTGTTTGTTTCATTTACTTCATTTACTTTGTTTCATTTACTTATCTGTTGGCACGCACGTTGTATCACCACTGCTATGTAGGTTTAGGAAAACTATCTGACAACTTTAATAAAAGTGAAATATTTTAAATACAGAGCATGTTTGGAAGCAAGCGAGCAGAAGTAGGTGGATAAGACAGGAGATAAGAACAAGACAATGTTATTTAATCCGTGGTGCTGTGGGAAGTAGCATCCCCAAGTTGAAATGTGAATTTATTCTCTAGGTACCTATTTATGTGGATGCAGTAATCAACCATATGTGTGGAGCTAATGTTGGTGCTGGCAAGCATGCTACTTGTGGAAGCTATTTCAATGCAAAGACTGAAGATTTTCCAGCTGTGCCATACTCTGGCTGGGACTTTAATGACGGTAAATGTAAATCTAGAAGTGGAGACATTGAAAATTATCATGATGTATCGCAGGTAAACCTAGAACTATAAATATATTTTTCATATCTGTTGGTTCTTGGGCTGTTATTTCTTTGCTCCTCTTCACTGTCAGACAGAAAAGATGAAATGCTTCATGGAAAACCAGCCTAATTAATAATAGAGGTTTATCAGAATAGCGTTACTAATGTAAGTTCCGCTTTTTTAAAGGAATAGCTCTACCTTTTTACATATAGACAATGTACTTCGGTACTTTATAAAGACAATTTTAAAATTCTTAAAATCTATTTAGGGATTATTCTGTGTTTAAAAGGAAGGTTAAGATTATTATTATTGGACTCTTATTTATTATGTGGATGATACTAATCTTATATTTTTAGATTCCTCTTCTTAAGAAAGACGTGCTGGTTTGCAGATAAGAAGTCTATCTGTTCCTGTAGGTCAGATTATAAGATCAGGATTGCAATACTACAACAGAGCAAGTAATTATTTTAGAAAAATAAATAACTACTTTTCTCGAACCATGTCTTGTGCCCTTCAAATGTATTTAATCATTTTTAAATCTAAGTTTAGGAGAGAGGATTTTTTGGAAGCTAGAAGAAGGGGGACTTTAAATGTCCAAGGAATCTTGAGCAGTTCTTGAGGAGCATCTGAAATGCGGGATCTTTGGTACATGTTGCGATATAGGCTGAGGTCTCTCTCTCCAGGTGGATGTGCATAGCCATGGAAAACCACCTTAAATGTTATTAAACATATACAGAATGTACTGAAATACTCTTCTAAAATATATTGTTTTGATGAAAGTATATGCCCCTCATTTTGTGTTTGCAGGAAACAAAAATAAAAAGGGTCAAGGAAAAGGGCTTAGTGTTTAGTAAAGCTATATAACTCAAGACTTTTTAAAATTTTGAAATATCACTACTAGAAGTCTTTCCTGCATTAAAGAAGAAATGGGTGCAAATGAAGAGAGTAATGAATCTGTACCTTGTACACCGGAATAAAAATAATACATTGTTTGTGCCTCATACTTGCATTAAAAAGCTGATAGTAGATTTAATGTTTTGTTTCTGTTGTTGTATTTCTTCTGCACTTACAGCTGTGCAGGCTGGGTGAATGCAGACTGCTAGATGCCCCTTCTATGCAGATGTAAATAACAGTCCAAGGCACAAAATATGCATGGTAGAAAACAACTAGTGGAAGTTTTATTTTGGCATTGTATTGTAGACAATAAAATTAAAAAAAAAATTGGAATGCTATTTTCATTTGTTAGGTGAAAAATAATTCATATCAAAATTTTTATATAGGTCCGTGACTGTCGCTTGGTTAGCCTTCTTGATCTGGCTCTGGAGAAGGACTATGTGCGCTCAAAAATTATGGAGTACATGAACTATCTCATTGATATTGGTGTAGCAGGCTTCCGGATTGATGCTGCCAAGCATATGTGGCCTGAGGATCTGAAGGCAATTTTAGACAAGCTGCACAACCTAAATACTAACTGGTTTTCTCCAGGATCTAAACCTTTCGTATACCAGGAGGTAATGAATTTTCGTAAACTCACTTGACAGGTACCTTTTTGCAAATACACGGTAGGCTTAGTCCTGCTCTTGTAGCTGTGCTTTGCTTAAACTGGGACTGAGCACCTATCAGACTGAAGATCTATAGAAACTGATTCTAAGATTTAATAACCACATTTTCAGATCTCTAATCTACCTGCTAATGGACATTGACATGCAAAATGCCTCAATTGTTTGGGACCTTCTGAGCTGATAACCCGGAAATTTCAGTTGAGATGAAATTTACTGCATTTAAGTTTTTGTAAAAACTTGATTGACTTCAGAAAGAGATGAATTCACTCTGTGGTTTTTGTATTCCAAAAGATGGCATAACCAGTGTTTCTTGAAATTTCAAATTTGTCTTACATCTCAGTAACAAATTCTAGGAACAACTGAGAAACTAGTAACTATTGGTTTCAGTCAGCAGAAGTTAAAGTCACTAGACATATTTTATTAAATCATGTTACCTATAAGGTCCAAGGGAAATTCATTTTACATCTCTAGCAGGAAAGAAAGCAGAAAGTTAGCAGGAAGGAAAGTTTTCTTTTTCCTGTACCAGGTAATGGACTGCAAATGTGCTTAGCAGATTAAAAAACTTACTTCTCTTGATGTGAGGCATGAACTAAGGTCCACGGCTGTACACTGTACTCTTCTTCTTCTTCTTTTTTATTCTTTTTTTTTTTTTT